ACCGGATTAAAAAAAAAAAAAAAAAAACTCGTACGGGGCCCCTAGCGTACGAGTACAAGACAACGAATCCGTACTCGTACGAGGGTGTGTACAAGTGGCAACGTAGCTCACGTTTAATAGTGTGTTTTCCATGGTTCTTGCAATAGATTCATTCGATCTGCTCATCTTGTCGATGAAAGTAGCGGCAGATTGATCACGGAAGTATCATGAAACCAAGCGCAAGATCGGGGACTTACTCGTCCTCCCTCACTTTCACACACATATACGTACATATAAGTGGTAGTGTATCCCTCCGTATCTTAGAGGTAGATCCATTCGACTTTCTTCATCCTAGCGAGGGAAGTAACACGAATCGTCTGTGCGATTCGTGGCACATACTCACTCATGCACACACACACTCATACAGTAGTATAGTGACCTACATTTCCTTGTTGTAGTGGTACGTTCATTCGCGGGGTAGGAGGCTTACCTGCTATTTCACTTGCTCTTTGCTGTAATCCGGCACGATTCTGCCACAACGAGCAGCTCGTTCGTAGTCAAGATGCGTTAGGCTTACGCACGCATATGGGGAGCTCCTTGCTTCAGCGATACTTTAGTAAGTCGATCCTACTTCACAGATAAGCAGGTGAGTTTACTCCTTCCTTCTGCCCTCTCTTGCCTCTTCACCCTGACGCTTCGGTTCTCTCTCTCTTCTCCTTACTCTCACGTTTTCTCCCTCCCTCTTTTCGATCTCTCGTCATCGCTCCTTCGCAAGGCTTAGCCCGAAAGCTCCGAAAAGCTTGTGTGGAGAGCCTCTGGTTTCTTAAGTATAAGGTCCAAACCCATGTCCAGAATGCTTGCCTTCATCGTCTACAATGTCGAGGTAAGTGACCCTCACCTTCATCTCCCTGTTCCTCCTCTCCCTCCTTCTTCTTCTTCCTCTTCCTTCGTTTCTTCTTTCTCCTATTCGCTCGTTGTCTCGTCGGTCCGCGTGCGATATCCCTGCGCCTACCTTTCTTTTGCCTATTCTGTGCTCGTTTCTCCCTTACGTTCCTTCTCGCCTTCGCGTGCCCTCCACGGGAGATCCTAGCACTGGGCAGATCCAGCTATATCAGGATCTCTCCACGATCCACATTCCTCTTGCTGAATTCATCCAGAATTCAGAGCCAGGTTCACCAGAACAATCTAAGGGTATCCAACCACGGGGCCTAAAAGACAAACAGTACAGAAAGAAAAGAAAAACAAAAAAAATCCTACTACTAACTGTCCCATTGTGCCAACTACCACCACGGTTCTAACTGCACCTAATCCCGATACCGAGGTCACGGTTCAAGCCCCGACCGACCGAGTATAAGTGAAATTATTCATGAGGCTCCTCCAAAAACTAGCTCAGGGTCGGTTGATTCGACCCCCGAGTATGGTGCTTAACAGATTGGCTTGAAAACCCACTGAGCTAGCTCCCACTTCGAAAGAAGGGGAGCAACTCCAGTATGTGTAGAGCCTGTCTCTTATACACATCTAGATGTGTATAAGAGACAGTCCCGATACCGAGGTCACGGTTCAAGCCCCGACCGACCGAGTATAAGTGAAATTATTCATGAGGCTCCTCCAAAAACTAGCTCAGGGTCGGTTGATTCGACCCCCGAGTATGGTGCTTAACAGATTGGCTTGAAAACCCACTGAGCTAGCTCCCACTTCGAAAGAAGGGGAGCAACTCCAGTATGTGTAGAGCTCTGGCTTAGCCCAATTAGCGGTCCGAGCCTATTTCTAAGTTTGCGCGTGTGTGCTCGCTTGCTGGTCCGCATGCCTGTCTGAGTGCTTGTCGGCTTGTGTGTGTGTATGACCCACAAGGTCACTCGATTAATCGTAAAACCCGAAGGGCTTGTGCTTAGTCGTGGTTGCGACACTTAGGGTCGTGGTGGGGAAACACTCAAGTGGCGGGCAAAGAGGCTCGCGACACTTAGGTGCCGCAGAAAAAACTTAGGTAATAGATCGGCCGATACCCCACTAAACGGAGGTAAACGTATCGAGTTCTCGAGGCCGATGACAAGAGACAAATTGGCAATTTTTGGAGGACTAGTACCGGTAAGTAAACAGGTACCAGCCCAAGTCTCAGTGTGTGTCGTAGATATCCCTGATATAGTACTATCCTAATCAATCCGTCGACCTTCTTGGTCAGAGGGTATTACCACCGATCCTAACCATCACAGCGTGCGCCATAACACATGCACGCATATTCTCAAAATTTCTCACCGGTTTGCCCCGGCCTCAACAGTCGAGGAAATCGTTTTTATAGTGTCGTGTGAAGACGCGTGCAATTCTAAGTTTAGACCGAATCTATCACAATCGAGGTGTGGACTGTAAAATCATGGTCAAATACCCTTGTAAGGGTATTTGGTCCGACAGTATTCCAGACCCTATTAAGCGACGTCCCCGTCGGTGGAGAACTATATGCAAACACAGATGCTTTCCGACGAGCAATTCGCCAAATCCGATCCCCTAGAGTGAAGTGTGTTTCAGGATTGACATCGTCACCTAATGTTTCAATGTTACTGTCGGGTTTTTAACCCGGGTCTCCCATATTATATCCACAAAAAAAATTAAACAACTTGAAGCGGGGATACTCGATCTGTACTACAATACATGAAATCGTCAAGTGTGACAGTGTTTCCTCGTTCCCCTCACTCTTAAACTTTGGCCCAGGTTATCGTTGGTTGTTCTCAGGGTCAGTGTTCGGAGGCGAACTCGACCCTTCAAACGCGGGTCCTAACCGAGACCTCGGATGACCAACCTTTAGTACATATGTCCAAGGTTGCCAGTTGTCCTGCCTGTAGCCTAATACGGGGGGACAAGCAGTCTCCATCTTGACCCACCACAATCTTGCTGATCAGGCCAGAGCTGCAGCCCACCGTGTTGTTGTTTAACGGTGGTTACCTCCGTTGGTTGCGCAACGATGGGATATTCATCCTATCTTTTCAAAAGTATATTCACAAATCTCAAGACTAATCTCGACCCCTCCGACTCCCACCTGAGTAGATCCTTTCACGGGGGTGGTCATCCCCTCTAGTTTCTTTTCTATACCATAATCGAAAGGTCCGCTGCCTGGTTATGCTAGGTCAGCAGCCCACGATGGGAGTTACGTCCCAACTGTGCCAATTTTTCACCATAGGCTTGGTAATTTTTATACCCTCAGGTTAACCCTTGAGATGAATGAACGATGCTTCTTTAAAATAAACCACATAAATGAGATTTTCAAAACCAATTGAGCTATCGTTAGGTTGTCATTCAGGGTTGTGCCCTCCAAGTCTTTGATCTTAGCTCGGTGAGGCACGCACCTCGGGGTCATATACATATACAAAACCAATATTTGAGTCGAAATCAATGTTTGTTGACTCCTTGCTTGTCTGAAACTAACAAAACAAACTTCCCATTCAAAGACGATTGCAAAATAACTTTATTCATTGAAAAGAGTTTGCCCATATCGCAGTATGGGTTTTCAACATCCGCACATAATCAATTAAGTATCAGGTCGTACAATCCTTTACTGACTTTCATACAAGACGTTCATCCGCCCGTTCCTCTACCACCATCTTCAGGCCTCAGATGAGTCCAATAGTGATAGACGAAGGGAGATACCCATTCACAAAAAAAAGACTCAACCATAAACAATGATTCATTCACAAGTGTGAAAAGTGTTTGTGGTCACCAACGCATTTCCCCCTTTGAACATATATATAAATATAAGTATGTTACAATGAGTCAGACCTGCGACTCATCCCTCTCAACCTCATATCTACCATCGAATGTCTATGCATTCTCTTGTACTACCATCTATTTTAAGCTTTTACCCTTACCAAATCTCAAGAAATAAAGTTTGTCCCTTCCCAATTTCACTTTACTCAATCACTTAACTTACTTAGGAGTTTTAAACGACTATTTACTTCTAATCTGAGAAGATGATTGTCAGCCCCAACATCCAACGAAGTTCTACTCCGCCACCTTCAGGTGTCCTGGGGATTATCTGTCCAGTGCTGGTAACCAACCTTCCCTATGAGTCAAACCTGGTCATCCCTTTCTTAATGTATTCGACCAATATTGCACAGTCATCTCGGAAGTGTCATTCTTTTGTGCAAAAGAAGCACCCACTTCTGACCTTGTTGTATCTGGCCTTCTTTTTGTGAGACTGGGCTGAAGTCTCTGTCTGGCTCCCAGCCCCTTCTGATGATTTCATTCCAGGCTGTCCATTCCTCTTGATGCCCTTCTGCTGAGGCAAAGCCAAACATTCACTCTTCTCTTCCTCTGAGGCAGGAGGCCCTTCAACCCTTGGCTGTTCTTGTGGCCTCTTGCTGGAGGGTCCCTCTTTTCCAACCTCAGTCTGCTCGTCCTTCCTTTCCTCTTCTTTTATGGACAGTGACTCCTCCCTTTCTCCTGCTGTCATCTTAATCTTAAACCCTTCCTCATCTTTCCACTCCACCACTCTTGTGGTCTCCTTCTCTTTCTCTTGGTGACTCAGTTTGAGCTCTTTCATCTCTTTCAGTATTTCATTCCATCTCATTTCCCATATCTGACTCATCTTTTCCCTTTCTGTGATCTCTTTCTCCAAATCTTCCCCTTGCACACTGATTCCTGAGCACAAACCTTCAACTTTCTTCTCCATCTTCTTCTCCCTCTCTACCACTTCATCTTCTAATTCCTTGCCCTTCTGGGCCAGGGGAACCTCCAATGTACTTACTTGTTTTAACAGTTCTTCCTTCCCCTTGTTCAAGTCCTCCACTTCCTTTCTCATCCCTTTCAAATCCTCTATCAATCTTGTCATCTGGACATCCCTTTCCTCTTCCCTTTTCCTCAGCCTGCTCATTTCTTTCAGGAGCCCAGGGATATAATCTATAAATCTTTGGGTGGAGAGCTCAATGCTTCCCTTGAGCTCTGACCGAAGCCCCTTCCCCAAAGCATCCGAGTCCTCACAAACTTCCTTCTCATTTCTTCCTTTCTCCATCTCCCCAATTTCCTTGCCACTTTCGCGTACTCTTAAAAAAAATTGGTACACTTTTCATCCAACATCTCATGTAATCCTATTAATTTGTGCATGTTGGTGGAGTGTTTGGAACTTACTACCAGCCCAGAGAGCAACATCCTCTCAAACCTTACATCCCAAGAGGAGTTCACAGATAGATCATCATTTTGTAGCATTTTGATTACATAATCTCTCCACTCCTTCTTCCTTTTCTCCCTCTGAGCTCTTTCCTCTTTGCTTATCTGCCCTTCTCTTGCTTCCCCCCCTTTTTGGGATGATTTTTCATATTTCACCCTTGTTTCTTCCCTTTTTTCTTCTTCCACTTCCTTACTCTTTTCTGGTCTCCCTCTCTTCACTTTTTTTCTTATCTGAACTCTCTTTTTTCCATCCTCAACTGACTTTCTCTCTTCAGTCTCCTTTGCTCTTGGTACTCACTCTTCCCTTGGTCTTTCTTCAACTCTACTGCTACCTCCTTTTTTTCCTCCTCTTCTTTTTCCACTGCCTGATCTGCCCCGCTTCTTCTGTCCTTGGGAAAAGTTCTAGGCTTGCTTCTCAGACCCCTCAAGGGTACATCCTTTTCCTCCCCTTCTTCCTGAGTTTTTCTCTGCAACTCATCCTTCTCCCTTCCAATCCACAATCCCTTCTCTTGTAGCCTTTCCCTCTTTGTCTGGTCTTGCCTCATCTGGGTGTATGTCATTTGCAACTTTATCAATATCCCCTGCCAAGTCCAAGCCTCTTCCACAATCCTCTTCACGTCCTCATTCTGACTTTTTTCTGTCCTTTCTACCAACCTCTTCTTCTTTTCCTCATCATTTCCCCCACCTTCCTCTGCAGATAGTTGTAAGTTGTCGACAAAGTCATCCAGGTTTGTCCCATCAAATGTTAAATCATCTTCAATCTCATCTCGGGGAAAATTTTCAATGAGCTGCCACAACCTCACCACACAAGTCTTCCACCTCAAGCACCCTGCTCCCACTTCTTCAGTTTTCTTTTTATATCCTCCCACTCTAGTCACCTTTGAGAGCTTCATCTTGTCATCCCACTCTCACCTGAAAGCATACTCTTCGAAATCCCTCAAGAACACGCGCAAGTTATCCCCTGCTCTGTAGACTGGCAACTCCTCCAGGCTCCTTGAGATTTTCTGATCCCTCCTCTGTCCGCCCTTTCTCAAGGTTGGTTCAGAGGGCCCTGCCATCCCTCCTCTTTGGGCCACGGTCACTTCTCCTCAAGGGTCACGTCTGCACACATAGAGGGAACAATGACAGGTGCAAGGATCAGCTACCATCGTCAAGGTGACACTTCACATCATCAACATACGCTTGACAAAACATCCTTCACTTGTACGTATACATATATATATATATATATATGTATATAGCCATATATATGTATATAGCCATATATATGTTTATAGTCATATATATATATGTATATATGTACATATACTCACTTACTTAAGTCTCGTTTGTCAACTCATACTCACCTCTTCTCTGATCTTGAATTTCTTTAGTTTGGACCCTGAAACCCAGTCTCTTCTTAGAGTCCCGTCCATTTCTTCCAACTCATATGCCCCATGAAGTTCCTATTTCCTGATTCTGAAAGGTCCAAGCCAACGCTTGTCCAGTTTTCGTGACCACTGCTTTTCCAAAGAAGAGTCGTAAAGTAATACAACATCCCCAACTTGCAACGGTTTGACCCTCACTCTAGGGAGCTTATCCCATCTTTCTTTGTCCTTTCCTCGACTGTCTGTCACCCTCGTGGCTGCTTCCTAAATCCTTTCCTCCGTGGCGCTGATCTGTCTCGCCCTAAGGTCAAGTAACTCTTTGTGTGTCAGATCATTCTCCAAGTCCTGTCGGCGCCATGTCTTTAGAAAACTTTATATCGGGAACGTGGCGTGTTGACCATACCAGAGGGTTGCAAACGCATATCCTGTCGTGCTCCTGACAGTGATATTTTCCACAAAGAATACCGTTCTAATGAATTTCGATCAGAGATTCGGCTTCCCAATGGTCCACTTGGCTAGCAAGTTTGTAATGGTGCCATGACCCCTTTCAACTGGCGCATTTGCTTGTGGGCGACTTTCGGAAATCGGGAGACGCCACGTGGCGGCGCATCCCCGGCCCCAACCCCCCCCACAAAAAAAAAACGGAAAAGATCAACTTTTGGTTGGGGGGGTATGGGCAAAATCGAACAAAATTGGAAAAAAAAAAACGTTTTTTTTTTTTTTTTTTTTT